AGACTACAATATGTCATCATTGACTATAGTTACCATACTGTGTAGGAGCTCTCTGGAACTCATCATTCCTCCTTTCTAGTTACAATTTTGTATCCTTTAACCAACATCTCTCTAACCACTCACCACCACCAGCACTCAGCCTCTAGTAACCACCATCATACTCTATTCGTAAGAGATCAACTTTTTTAGGTTGCACATGAGTGAGATCACGCAGTGACATCTGTGCCTGTCTTACTTCACTCAACATAATGTCCTCCAGGTTCATCCATTTTGTCACAAATGACAAGATCTCCTTTTTATGGCTAAATAGTACGCCACTATATATGTAAAATATTTTCTTTACCCATTATTTGATGGACACAGTGATTCGGTATCTTGCCTATTGTGAATAGTGCCACGATAAACACAAGACTGCAGATATCTCTTTGGAATACCGAGTAATAACACTGCTTTTGAACACTTTGCTAATGTACCAGATCTCAGCTTCGGAACCTGACTTTTCCTGGGCCTTTTATGTTACTCCTGGCTGTATAAAAGTGATGGTCTATGCCTGTGTATTAGTACAGGGCTTTGCCAAAAATTTAGTGAAATCCAAATGTAATGGGTGTCAAAGGAAATGGCTAGACTGGCTATAAAGACATCCTTCTGGGCCAGCAGGTGGTGTAGTAGTTAAGGCACTGGACTCCTACATGGCCGACTGTGGTTCAAGTCCCAGATTTAGTGACCTGCTTTCTCATTTTCTTTCTTTCTCTCTCTCTCTGTCTCTCTCTGGCATGCCCTATAGCAAATTAAAAAATAATAATAGTAATAAATAAAATTAAATAAATAATTATTCTAAAAGAAAGAAAGGTATTCTTCTACTAAAGATTCTGAGAAACTATGGTATAGGTCAGATTAAAGCTTATCCTTAGGCATCCAAGTGTTATCTGAGAGAAATATCAACTACCTGAGACCAGCAGATGGAGTAATGGTTACGTCGCTGGACTCCCATCTAGTCAACCACGGTTCAAGTCCCAGACTCGGTGGCTTAAAACACACCAGGAGTGTGTGCCCAAGATCCCAAGAAGAGAATGGAGGAGAAGGGATTGCAGCATGGCCATTCTCCTGAGGAATGATTTCTCACTTTCTGTCTATCCATCTCTCTGGCGAGCACAAGCACCCTATATCAAAAATCTCTGTCTTTATTTATTTAT